CTATAGTCTAAGAATTCTACTCATCACGTTCTTTCTGTCCAAAGACTATAATATCAGTCATAGACAGCTGAAATTTCTGGGCCATTTTCACAGAGTCTTTCATAAGGTTTCATTCAAATCTATCTCACTTTTTTTTAGGAGTTTGTGCTTACATTCAAGAAATTTCAGACTGTTGTCAGAGTGTACTTTGTTTAAAAGTCTTCAATGACACATGTATTGATCTGTTATCTAAATCAAAGTCTAACACATGCATAAATACAATCATCTAGTGATTTTTCTGGGTAGAATAGTAAATTAGAAACAAATCTTTGGGTATATTGAATTTCTTTATTTAACACATAAAATGGAGCCACTAATATTCATGCAGGATTGAAGATGCAAAATTATAATCCATTTTCAGAAGTTAATCTCCTTTTCAACATAATCCAGTGTTGTTTTAGGCTGACTTTCACTGCGCACTACCCAGGCATCTTCACTCAGCTGTCTTTAGGGTCCTCCGGCCTTTTAAGCTGTGATAACGAAGGACATAATTGCCATGTAGTCATTGATTTTTAAAATGGATCTTGTGAAAAAAAAATAATTGTTGCATTAAAAAATTGGAAAAACACAGTTTTGTGTCCCTCAAACATTCAGCCCTTCAAGAACATATGCATGCAGAATCTGGATATGCTTGCTAACTTACAGTCTTGAAATCTGTCCTTGAGGAAAGCATATAATGGTCTACATGTGCCCGTGGGACCCATACAGTGTTAATGTTAGAAATCATATGATACAAAATGTGTACTTTAAAACACTTACAATCCCTGAATTTATATAATCCCAAATACTGTATAATTAACTGATTTGCATCTGAACAGCTACTTGATGCAATGTCTCCTGTTTAGAAAGCATCCTTAAATTATAAGGTAGTTGCTGTAAACAACGCACAGGTATGGTTAAAAATCTCGTTTTCCCTCTGTGATTTGGGCAGTATTGTTGGAACCTAGAAGAGAAGAACCTGCCAATTTTTATTATAATCTCTTTAATTTAGTTATTTACTGGAATAACAGCTTATGTGGACACAGAATGAAAGGACTCAATGATATTTCCTTAACGGCCTTATTATGTGAATGGTAATTGCAATGAAATAAAAGCCTTTTGGAGGTAATATGGTATGGTAGGGAGCAGCTAGCATTCAGCACCAGAAGACCCTTACCTGCATACTGGTCCCATCATTTACTACCTATGTGACCTTGTACCAGTTACTTCCTTCAATGAAATTCAGTTTCCTTCTCTGCAGAATGAATCTGTTAAGCTAGAGGATCTCTGTTAGGTCCCTTCTAGGTCAGTGAGCCTAGGAGGCATTTGCGTGGCACTTCAAAAATAACTATGCTTTTCTTTGTATTGCAACTTTGCATAGACTCCCATTTATCTTTCCATTACTTCCTTATACTAACAATTTCCTGTAGAGTTTGGGAGAAACTTGGTATTAGTGAGGTAGATAATGAGTACAGAAGTGTACCTTTAGCTGTGATCTTACTGACCAAAATTGGACTGAATCCTAAATTTAAGTTCTTTTCGTAGCCCACAAGATGCCTACCTTGGACACAACATGGCCTAGTCTTGAAGCCAAGAAGAGTTGGCTTCAGATTCTACCCCTAATTTTTATACCCTCCATTTCCATCCTATTTTGTGGTCATTTAACCTCTGAATGCCCCCAGATAATGCTCTGTGAATATAAGTTATGTGCCATTAACTTATTTGCATTAGAGAGCAAGTTTCCACCTTTTCCCATCTTCTTTCTGAAAAAAAAATTCACTTTGACTACAAATTTACCATCATTTTACCTTAGCCTGTAGTCCTGCTAAGAGTTGTTGGTTTGGGAATTCTCTAGTGAATCTGAGTCAATTGTTCAATTAACCAGTTATTTAATTATAAAACAATTTGCATAAATATGTTACGGAGAAAGCATTATTTTTAGAAAAAGGCAAAGGTCAAACAAGTCTTAAAAGTAACACTTATGAAGTATCCTTTCTCTTGCTTTGCTTACAGTTAGTCCCTGATACTTACTAGATACCCAGGGGTACCTCTACTGTCTAAGGTGCTTAGGGAAACACTAAAAAAAAAGAGACATGACCCTTGGCTGTTACAGTTTTAGGATCAGTAGATGTCATTGATGCATCATAATGTGCAGCATTAAGTATAATACTGTTTTATTCTTAATGCTCCCTTTATTTCGTCCAACATCCTATACATAGTAGGCACTGAGTGTTGTTCAATCATTTTCAGTCATGTCTGACTCTTTGTGACCCCATTTGGGGTTTACTTGGCAAAGATACTGGGGTGGTTTGTCATTTCCTCCTCTAGCTTATTTTACAGATGAGAAACTGAGGTAAACAGGGTTAAATGACTTGCCCAGGGTCACACAGCTATTAAGTGTCTGAAGTCAGAGTTGAACTTACAAAGATGAGTCTTCCTGACTCCAGGCCCAGTGCTCTATCTACTGGGCCACCTTGCTGCCCCAGGCAACTTTTGCTAATAAAGGATATTATTTTAGAATCCTGACTTTAAAACTTTCCGTTTTGACTTCCTGCAGTGAAAGTAAGGGTGGAGAATTATAATGAGTCTTGCTACAATGTTTTGTTTGAGCTTTTAGCATAGAAACCCATTTTTTTTCATTTGTTTAGGAGAATGGGATCCTGAATGGCAGCATGGGTCAAATCCTATTGGGCCACACCTAACTGGCCACATGTCTCCAGGCCACAAGTTTTCCACCCCTTCGCCTGGGCTATACCTCTGAAAAATTGCTCTAAAGATATAACTTGACTTTTTTTTTTATAGTGCTAAGATATCATTGTATTATATATGGCTTTTAAAAAATGACCCCATAACACTTACCAGCTGTGTGACCCTGAGCAAGTCACTTAACCCGGATTGCCTCACTCAACAAACAAATAAACAAACAAAAATGACCCTTTATTGGGGGCCTAGAAAACCTCCTTTAAAAGCAAAGCAAAACAAACAGAACAACATTTTCATTGTGCCTTACCCATATTCATCATGAAAAGATTTGACCTATTCACTTTAGGCTTTTCTAGGTCACCTAATTTTCTAAGGGCTTTTCCTATTGTTAAAAATATAGTGTGATCCTTTCTTTATTTCTGAAATCAGTTTTTTTCCCCTTAAACACAACCAGAAATTGGCCTCATAGTGCTAAGATTTTTTCAATATGGAAGATTAATGGTCTAATGAAGAAGCAAACAAATGTATGGTGGAAATGGTCATAGTTAATACATGTTATAAACCAACATGCATCATTGTCAAGATTACCAATGCATTTCATTAAATTGCTATAGTTTTCCACAAAGGTGATATGGCTATGCCTCAAGATGAAGGACAAAATGTGGCTAATGGATTTTTGATCTAGAAGGTGGGGAATATGATGCTTCGGGTTTTATGTTCATCTTTATTAAGTAACATTATGTAAGTGACTTTAACTTCTATGCCACTATTCATCTGCAAAATAGAGATAATACCCTTCTCTCGGAATTGTTATGAGCAATAATTAATAAGGAAGATTGAAACTTTATAGAATCAGTGTTAACTAATCTCTTGATACGGAGAGACAATAAGTGAATTCTAAACAGCAATCTGGATGAGGAACTCATTTCTGTTTCTGGTGTATTCCAATATTTGAATGGAACTGAGTGACACATGGTATTGATCAAGCTCGTGGAACTAAAGTTAGCTCATTTGTGCTGTTGTAAAATGTAAATCCATCATTCACAAGGTAGATGCCTTCATTGTTTTGTTTTGTTTTTTGACTTCTTAAAAATTAACCTTGGTTTTAAAATTAGCATGCTACTACCATGTTTTATTGCCTACCTGAAGGTTCTGTAGTTTCATCATTGTAGGTCTAGTCCCCATCAATTCAGATTGTAATAATGGCTGACTCTCATGTTGGGGATATGCTGTCGCTAGCTCATCCCAGCTCATAAGAATCAGTTAATTTTTTTTTGAAAAGAAGGAAATTTTTATTGGTATCTTCTGTTTTTTACATCATCATAGCTATCCCCAGTATCCCTTTTAGAGGGATATCCTCCATAGAGAGCTAGCCCATATGATAAATAGCATTTTTAGGGAGGAAAAAATCAACATAACTAATCAATACGTAGAAAAAAATCTGAAAATGTCTAATGTATAACATCTGTGGGCCTTCTACATCCATGAAGGAGTGGGTTGGGATATCGGCTGTTGGATTTTCAGTATACCTTGGTAATCAGCAAATGATGCAAAGCAGGGCTTGATTTCTTGTTTTGCTGATTGTCTAAACTTCAGAAAGTGATGAAGAATACTTAAGAGTATCACATATATGTTCAGAGAACTGGTTACAAAGCAATTATCAGTATATTCTTGAGTGATGTAGGCTTTCAGAGTTGCAAAGAACCTTCTAATACCTGATCTCATTTTAGCTTTACTGTAATCTTCTGAGGAAGGTACCCATTTTACAGAGGAGGAAACTGAGGTCCAAATAAGTTAAGTGACTTGGTATTCACAAGTGGTAGGGTAAGGATTGAGCCTATGCATCTCTCACTTCTAAGTTGAACAGCCATTCCATTACACCATACTATCTCTCACGTGAAGACCTGGCTTAGAGTGAACATTTTTGAAGTTGCTGTTAACACAAAGAAACGGAACCCAAAGAACACAAAATAAAAATAAATCCCTGACTTTTGTAAAATTTAGCGACATATACAATCCATCCCTGGGCCTTTACTTAAGACTTTTTCAACTCAATAAAACCTGGCTAATCACCTGTGATGTACTGGCATAACTTACCTTTGAGACCCCAGAAGCATACCACATTGAGGCCTCCAGCAGAGACATATCATATTAGTCTTCCAGAAATAGTCTTTTGATCTTTTGGACTTAGTTCTTGTAACATGCATGAATTCCTTTTGTATCTTCTGTTTTTAACACAAATTCTGTTGTATTCTTAACATATATCCTTTATTTTGCAGTTACTTATGGCAGATCCCATTAACCATTGTAGTAGGAAATAGGAGCCATATCTCATCAGAGACAATTATATGGGTGTCTAACAAATCAGGTAAAGATATCCTTCTCTGTGGGTTTGTGTGTGAACTGTTTTTCTAGGTTTGATGACGGATAGCAACTTAGGTGCTAGGAATGTGGGGCCAAGTATCAGGAAAATAAGGGGAAGACAACAAGTTTTAAAAGGTGAGAGAAAGGAAGGAAACCATCTTTGTCCACTAAATTAGAGGGAAAGATGAAAAATCTCCTTAAAGAGAGACTTTTTAAATCAATAAATGTGTTGAGTGTACATGAGAGGGAGCATCAGGTAGTCAGATGGAGGGTGGACCTTGGAATCAAGAAGAATACTAAGATGGCCTGAGGCAAATCACTTAACTTCAAAGGTTTACCTTGCTAATTTGCAAGAATATAGGGAATTTTTCCACTGGGAGGGGAGTTTTCTACATAATTTAAGTCACAAGTCCATTCTCTCTGCCATTGTTAAGTAAACTTAATTTTTAGGTAAAGACCAAATAAAAATATTTCTAGCATTCAAACACAACTTTTAAAATGTATTAATTCCATGATTCCAAGATCAATTTAAAATTATAGCTCTGCTGTCACTGTGGTCATTATCAGTACAATAATGTCCTAAAAGCTGGAATGCACTTACCCCATCCTATGCCAGTCTCCTGCTACTGAAGTACTCAAGGACTATCTGTTTAAATATGATATGGGGAATTTTACTCATACTGTCACATCTTCATAGCAACCTGAGGGACCTTGAGAAATGATTTAGTCCGACATCCTCCCTATTGATAGACCTAAACCATTTCTTCTAGAAAGATAAGAATTCATTTTCTATTTTTAATATTTTAAAGATAATGGCAAAAGCTATTAACAAACCATTCCAATTCACTATGACAAAGATATTTCTTGTGTGTAACCAAAGTCTTGCATAACGTAACGTGAACCTGACTTGATGTATTTCTGTGCTTAGTTCAGGTGGAAAAAAGCCCTGCACCTCTTAGTATGTTCAAATTTGCCATTCTTTATGAAAGGGAAAAAAATATCAAAGGATAGTTTAAAGAAAAATCAATGTTTATGCCTGCTACCTAAAGCATAAACTGTTGTGATCCAACTGGTTTAGCTCATCTTGCTGTATTTTCTACAGGTGGTCATGTATTATAAAATATAGATGCATACACTGTATGAAATGCTTAAATGCAACATATTGGCTGTTAAATCTATTTGAGTTTTTGGATCTGGGCTTTTAAATAGTGAAATGATCAAGTGGAAAGCATGCTTGCCTAGAAGTTAGGAAGTGCAAATTCAAATTAGACCTCTGATATTGGCTGTATGACCACAGACCAATCAATCAGTTGGTTTTTATTAAATGCTTACTATGTGCCAGACAAGGTGGTTATGTACACCAGCTATATACAACCGATGAAACAGTCCCTATTCAAAAAGAGCTTATATCTTAATGTGAGAGATAAGGACATATGACAGTTTGCACAGCATAAATGTCAAGTGAATCAGTGCACATTTATAAATTGTAGTTAGATTCAAGGTACTTTGGGAGGGAGGGTATTAGTAGTTGGGGGGATCTGGGAAGATTTCGCGTAGAAAACGTTCACTGAGTCATGCCTTAAAGGGAAAGAAGGCCTCATTGAGGTAAAAGGAACACTTACCAGTCATAGGGGGCCAGCTAACAGTGCACAGACACAGAGATAGGAGAAGAGTATCCATTTTGATTTACAGAGATAAGGCCAGTTTGGCTAGATGGCAGAATTCAGGAAGGGGACTAATGTTCAGTGAGGCTAGAAAGATAGATTGGGTCCAAGTTGTTTTGAGTTTTAATAATTAAACAGAGAGATTTAAATTATATCCTAGAGACAATACAAAACAAAGGAGTTTATTGAGGACAGGCCTCAGATCAGGCTTTAAGGTAAAATCACTTTGGCAACATTGTGGAGGATGGAGTGAAGTGAAGATAAACCAGGACTAGGGTGGTAGTTGGGTGATTAGTGAGAAAGGGATTGGATGCACTAGATATTGTTGATTAAAAGGCAAGGTTTGGCAATGAAATATATATGGTGAGAGACAGTGAGGAGTCCAGGTTAATTCTAGAGTTTTAAAACTTGGATACTGAGAAGGTGATGGAGCCCTTGACAAAAATAGTGATGTTTGCAATAGGTGAATGTTTAAGAAAATTATAATACATTTAGTTTTAGAGTGGTTGAATTTGAGATGCCTTTAAAATATCTAGTTTGAAATGTCCATTAGTGTGTCAGCCCTGAAGCTTAAGGGAGTGATGAGTCATTTTCACATTAATGATTGTTAAACTCGTGGGAACTGTTGAGATTACTAAAAGAGAGTAAAGAGGGAGAAGAGAGAGGACTTAGGATAGAATTTTGGGGGACACCCACAGTTAGGTGATATTATATGGATAATGGTCCAGGAAGAAGACTGAGGAGTGGCTTTTTGGTAGAGATGCAAATAAATGTTACATTTACTCAACAAATATTGAACATGTATTCTGTAAAAAGTATGTACATACCTATTCTGAAAAGTGACGAGAGGCCTGCCCCAGTTCAAAGCTCCTTATAACTCTCTCTTAGACTAGATAAAGTAGAACCAGCATTGATTAGTGTAATGAAAACCTTAACCCTCAGGTTCCCCATCTGTAAAATGGTAATAATGATGCCTATAGAACTTCTTCAAAGCATTGTTTGAGGATTATATGACACATTGTGTATAAAGTGATTTGTAAATCACTTAATCACACAAGATTTTGTAAATCTTATAGTGTTATCCTTCTACCAGAGTAGATGGGCAACTAATTAGTAACTTCTAGTCTTAGTGAGTTGCCTGGAATACTGAGAGTTTATGTGTCCAGAGTCACAAAATAAATATGTGTCAAGAGGCAGGTCTTAAACTCAGATCTCTAATGGCAGCCCTATAGCTACTACACCATATTGTTTCTAAGCCATATACATAATATACATGTATACATACATACATACATACACACATACATACATACATACATATATATGTATATATACACACACATATTTAGTATTATTCTATTTAAATAGAATATTTATTAGATTATTATCTTTGATTTATTTTTAAGAGCTTGCCATCAAAATCTAATGTGTTGAATCAAGGTTGTATGTATACTGTGATTACCAATCAAAACTGAGTGTTTTCTTTGATTAGGTGTTTTCTGGGTAGTTTTCTTGGTTTGTACTGAAATGACCAATAAGAAGCTTGTTTTTTTTTTAAGTAGATCAAATGCCTTTCAAAGATATCTCTTAGTATAAATTCCCCTAAACAGCTTGAATTAGGTCAGTAGTTGAAAATAAAGGTAGATTTTCCCATTGGAAAATTAATGAAGAGAGTAGGAGAAAGAGGGCTGCAGAAGTTGAGACATGTCCAGCACAGAACCTTGACCTGAAAAGAGTCAGGGACCTCTAAAAGAGTTTGATTCTTTTAGTTATTCTTTCTTATTTTCCTCTCCTTTTGGTTCTGAGAATCAAATTCTCAAGGAATTCCTTTATCAAGAATAACATTTTTGTTTGTTTTTATTTGGGGAGGGGTTTGTACCTCTGACTTCTTTGGTACATGGACTTCCTAATGTGTCAACTCCCTCCATTGATGCAGATTGACAATTTTTCTGTTACTTATCATCTTACAGTGTTAGCTTGAGATTAAGGGATTTGTCCATGATAAGGTACGTGTAAGAGGCAGATCTTGAGCCTGGATAAATATAACTCCAAGGCTTGCCCTCTATTCACTGTGCCATGTTGCCTCTCTAATAACAATAGTAGCTATATTGGTTTAACACATGATGGTTTGCAAAGTTCCTTAGGTGTATTATCTCACTGGGTCCCCACAGCAACCCTAGGTAGAGAAGGCAAATATTATCCCTATTTTATAAATACATAAACTGATTCTCAGAAAGGTTAAGAAATTTGCCCACGGTCGCATAGCTCCTAAATGGCTCAGCTGGGATTTCAGTCTAAATATGTTGACTCCTAAGTTCAGCTGTTCCTTCTGCTCTACAACAGGAATTACTTTTAGATTAATTTTTTGGTATAAAATCTTATGCTCATTACCTTCCCCAAGTATTTGATCTAGAGAATATTTACTAGCCTCAAAGTTTGACTTACATAGCAAACAAAAGTAGGTTGTGGTTTTGAATGATCAACAATGGCTATTTCCCTTTCATAGTTATTCTATTCTATTATTTATGTTATATTTATCATATTTTATATTTTATTTGAGAATGTAGAAAAATGTATTTGAAGAAAAATATCACCGAATAGTTCTTTGAATCATCTTTGAAATGTAGTGTCAAAAATGTATATTCCTTTGAAATATCTTGCCTAGGAATAGGAAGAATAGTTTTGCTATTTAAAAATTACCTAGTGGAAAGCATAACATTATTACTGTCATTAATTTTTTTTTATTAAAAAAAAGGCAATATGCCCCAATCAATACAATGCTGAATTCAAGATGATCTTCCTTCAAAGCCTGCCTCTGACACTGACTAGCTTTGTGGCCCTGGGCTAGTAATTTAATTTCTATGCACCTCAGACAACTTCCCTAGGACCCATCCATTAAGCCTTCAGCCTTATCTTGGTGAAAGGGAGTTCTACAATGGGAATTACCTAAGCTGCCAGAATCATAATTCCTGAGTGTAGCTAATAATTATATAGGGCTTAGAGGTTTGTCACATGCTTTACTTAATTTCCTTTTTCAATTCTCACCACAAATCTGTGTGGTATAGGTACTAGAGGTATTATTATCCTTAATGTACAGATGACGTTAAATGGTTGGTGTTGAGTTCACTCAGATAGGAAATGTTTTAGGAAGGATTTAAAACTGGGCCATTCTGATTTCAGGTTTAACACTCTTTCCATAGAGTGCAAAGCAAAGGGGATACTGCTTTGAGGTGTAAATTCAAATTGTTAATCACCAAAACTGTCCAGATTTGGTGGCTAATGGTGGAGGGAATCCAGAAGAAACATTGGAAGAAATATTGTCTTGCCTGTAGGTTCACCT